GCCCCCGCCACCCCCACCCGATCGCTTACTTACCACTCCTGCGTGGGCCCAGGGGACCCAGCTGCGAGGATCTCCGGGCTTCCCCTGACCCCAGTGCTCCTGCACAGGCCTGGGGGACCCAGCTGCGGGGCTCTCCGGGCCTCCCCTGGGCCACAGCACTTCGGCGTGGGGAGCTGGGGGCGGTGCTTGCCCACCGCCACCATTTGCGTCGGCTCCTGGGCTGCCGGAGCAGTACCCCAGTGCACTCTGGCCCCAAAAGACCCCTGCTCTGTACTATTTTCCAGCTCTGCAATATCCTTTTTGCAATGAACTGTACACAGTATCTCTCCCTTATAATAAAGCAGTAGTGGGGACCAATGTTCTAAAATGCCCGCCTTTAGTGTTTGGCCGGAAGAACTGCCACTCATAAGACACTGGCTGGGTTGACTGGCTGCTTTGTGCAGTCCCGCCCAGCGTTTCAAGGTCTTTTGCATATGGAAGCTGATTGGACTTCACTCCATTCCACACCTCAAACTCCCCCCCCCGCAAGGCAGTTGGAATTTTCAGTTGCATATGGGAACTACTGTATTCTGAGGTAACATATGTCCTCACTCACAACACATCACTTCCCCTTTAAAAGAAACAAACCCAATGACACAATCACGCCACACCACAAAGAAGACAGATCACACCACAAGCAGAATACCTCAAGGCAAAAAATGATAGGAAAAGGTGCCAGCAGTCACCCCATTACTGCCACAGATGGTGTGCAGGTCCCAGGTTCATGTTTTAAAAGCTGCCTGGGGGACTATGGACCATTCACATACTTTCAACCATAACATACCTCATAGGGTAGTTGTGTGGATCATACGGGGGAGATGAGAATGATGTCAGCTGCTTTGGTTCCCACTGCAGGGAAAGACTGCCCTTTCCCTAGGCAGAGGCCGGGGGGGGGGGAATGTAAAGACAGACAGGCAGATAAAGGTAGGCTGATGGTTGCCTGGAAAGGACATAGGGTTGAAGCCTGCTGAGGGTGGGGTCGGAGGAGGAGGAGGAAGAGGGGGACCTCAGACAGATACAATGCCATACTGCCCACACTCCAGACAAGCTGTTGCCAGTCTCCAGGTGACAGCTGGAGAGCTCTAAAAGCTTTGGTGCTAATTCAAAGTGTTGCAATTTATCAACAGAGTAGTGCTTTGGAAAATCTTTAGGAATTGTTTGGTGCATTTACGATGGGGCTCCTGGGGAACTATTGTTGCCAATCTTGGCCCAGCAGCCATCAAACCATTCTCTTCAACCCCCTGCTGTGCAGCTGACTTTCCCCTAGGGTTGCCAATCTCCAGGTGGGACCTGGAGATCTCCCACTGTTACAATTGATCTCCAGATGACAGAGATCAGTTCCCCTGGAGAAAATGGCTGCTTTGGAGGGTAGACCCTATGACATTATACCTGCTGAGTCCTTCCGCCCCCCCCCGCCCCATGCTGCCCTCTACAGAATCCACCCCCCAAACCTCCAGGTATTTCCCTCCTTAGAGCTGGCAACCCTACATTCCCCTCAGTGCCTGTTGGTAGGCAACTAAGCTTGGTCCTGTCACCTACTTTGGCCTTTGGGAGAAAACACATTGGGGCCAGTCCTGATAGGGTTGCCAACTCCAGATGGGAAATTCCTGGAGATTTGAGGGATGGAGCCTGAGGAGGGTGAGGTTTGAGGAGGGGTGGGACCTCAGACAGGTACACTGCCATAGACTCCACCCTCCAAACCAGTCAGTCCCACATAGGAAACCATTGTTGCCAATCTCCAGGTGAGGCCTGGAGAACACTCAGTATTACAACTGCTCTGCAGAAGGGAGGGCAGAAGTCAGCTGAAGTCAAAGGGGCAGATAATGGTAGGTTGATGGTTAGCTGGGAAGGAGATCGGGTTGCCAACTACATGCTGACAAATTCCTGGGGATTTGAGGGGTGGAGCCTGGAGAGGGTGGGGTTTGCAGAGGGGTGGGACCTCAGACAGGTAGAATGCCATAGACTACACCCTCCAAACCAGCCATTTTGTCCTGGGTAACAATTGCTGCCAATCTCCAGGGGAGGGCTACAGATCACTCACAATTACAACTGCTCATCAGGTAGCAGAGATCAGTTCCTCTGGAGAAAACAGTGGACTCTGTCATTATACCCTGCTGAGGTCACCACAGCAAATTGACACTGTTTGCCCAAAGCCAGAGCACTGCCCCAAAGCCTCTTTCTAGATCTCGTTGTATTGCTTTCACAACGGGCTTTACTGCTAGTTCCAAATAAGGCTGTATCGTAGGTCTATACAAGGACATTACAATATCAGCCATTTTATTCTTAGTCCCTTTCCTAATAATCCCTAACATAGAGTTTGTCTTTTTCACTGTTGCAGCACACTGGGTTGACACTTTCATTGAGCACTATGACCCCAAGATGCTTTTCCCTCTGTAATGGCTTGATAAAACACAGTTCTATGTGGTATAAATACTGTGATGGGGGGGGGAGCAGGTTCTCCTCTCCCTCATTTTATCCCTGTAAGGTAGTTTAGGCTGAGAGTTTGTGACTGGCCCTAGGTTACCTAACGGTCTTCTATTGTACAAGTGGGGATTTGAACCCTGGTCTCCCAGATACTAGTCTGACACTGTTAACCACCACACCGGCTCTCACGTTTGCACCCTAGATGTGATCTTGGTAAAAACACCTGTTTTAATCATCTTTGTTCATTTCACTTACTTGAAAAGTCTGTCTTTTTCTTTCAGCTGCTACTAATATGAAGTGGATTGAAGCTAAAATGAAGGTAAGATCTGTGTGTGCACACTCTTGTACTTTAGCTAGTGCTTGGTATGCCTGTGTGTGTGAAAGCTGGAATTCCAGAATTTTAGGAAGTTTCTTAAAATTAGCAATGATCTTTAAATCAAGACCCTGTAGTAATTATCAGTTTGGCATAATTACATACAGAACATTTTAAATCAAACTAATTAAGTACACTGGGAACTGCTTTCTTTTGGGAATGCAGGTTTCCCTTTGTTTATGTACATGCCCTGTGAATAGCAAGCTTGCCTACTATGTGAATGGCCTAAGTTTGAACTGAAAATATTCTACAGTAGTACGTTTGTGCAGACTCTTTGGTACTTGGCACAGGGGATCAGAACCTGCTCCCAGAACAACAGTACGTTTCCCTCCTGGGTCCTTTAAGCTGTCTTGTGGAGATGGAGCCTAAAGGACATGGCAATATAGATATGCAGAATTTCTCCTTATATATGAAAGAGTTTTCGTGTGACTCTTCCACACCCCTCCCCAGCCTTTGGGTCCCTGATCTGTCACTCAGGAGGGGGACCATTCCCCTGGCCGCATTGCCTCCCTCTGTCGCCTCCGTCCCACCCACAGACCCGCTGGGCAGCGTCTCACCATCACTCTCCAGGGAGCCGCCAGGTGGGATGGACGCTCTGGCGGCTAGATGCATCTGAGGCTTATGCCAATCCTGCTGGGAGGCCAACTCCAGGTAGCTGGGTGCCTTGCCATTGGGCGGGGGCCACCGGTCTGACGGCGCTGGAGGTGGCTCGTGGGATGCCGCCACCCGACCGGACAAGCAGGCAGTGGCGGGCCATTCCATCGCCCCTCCACCCTGGACTCTGTGGGGAGGGCAGAAAATGGGGACCGTAGGCTGATCCTCATGCGCCCGTCGTCACCGCCCGATGCCCAGTACACCTCGCTGCCCGGCCAACACCCACACGGGGCCTGGCACTGCGCTGGGCCGTGGAGTGCTCGAAGTGGCCCCGACGTTGCTGGTGCTCCGCCGCCGTGGAGACAGTGCCGACCCGTTCTGCTGCCCCTCGAGCCTGAGGTCTCGCCAGGGGGCCGACAGTGTGGGCCTGGGCCTCATTCCCCTCAAAGGCGGCATGCGGCCGAACCGCCGTGGAGGGCCCTCACGCCGCTGCCACTCCTCCCGCCTCGCTGGCCCCCGCCGGCCCAGGAACAATGCGTGTGGCTGGCCTGTGACTGTGCGGCCACTGCCTTGCCGCCAGGATGGCCAGTGGGGGAGCTACCCCGGAGGACACTGCCCACGCTCACAGAGGTCTCGCGTCCTAGGGCTCGTTGTATTGGTCCTAAAACGGGCCTTGCTCTTAGTAGATGAAATAAAAGTAAGGAAAGAAAGATCCTTCTCTCTTCTTTGCCTGGCCCCCTGTATCAATTATGTAGATGTAAGACTTCTAGAAGTTTTTAAATCATGGGAAAAATAAATGTCGGGGAGAAAACGGTGCAACAATTAGGGAACCTGCAAGGACTTGAGGGGTCCATCTCATTTTCTTCTCCTCCTTTCTGGAGAGCCAGTTTGGTGTAGTGGTTAAGTGCGCGGACTCTAATCTGGGAGAACCGAGTTTGTTTCCCCACTCCTCCACTTGCACCTGGCTGGATGACCTTGGGCAAGCCGTAGTTCTGATAAGAGCTATTCTTGAAAAAAAGAGCAGTTTCTTTCAAGAGCTCTCTCAGCCCCACCTACCTCACAGGGTGTCTGTTGTGGGGAGGGGAAGGAAAAGGAGTTTGTAAGCCGCTCTGAGACACCTTTGGGTAGTGAAGGGTGGGGTATAAATCCAGTCTCTTCTCTCCTTCTTTCATTCCCTGGCAGCCCCCATAGGTTCTCCTCTTTTCTTCCTTCCTTCTCGCCTTCCCACCCATCAGCCAATTTACCTTTATCTGAACTCTGTCATCAGCTTTCTCTCCTTCCCTCTCCTGGCAGCCTCTGTCTGGGAAAATTATGGCCCAGTAGCACAGTCCTGGCCACTGGGCATGGCCCAGTTGTGTGGTGGGAAATCAGCAAAGACTTGTGAGGGTTACCTCATTTTCCCTATATCCTCTTCCCCACACTATTTCCTCTTTCTTTCTTCTTGGCAGCTCCCATATCCTCACCTTTCTCCGCTTCCTCTTCTCCTTCAAACCGAACAACGTACCTTAATCTGCCCCCCCATCAGCTATAGTTATTATTGCGTTTATATCATGTGTTTCCCCACAAAGGGGACCCAAAGCAGCTTACATAATTATCCTCTCCTTCATTATGTCCTCATGACAACCCTGTGAGGTAGATTAAGCTGAGAATGTGGAACTGGCCCAAGGTCACCAGGTCAGCTTCCACAGCAAAGTGATGATTTGAACCTTGGTCTCCCGGTTCCTTGTATAAAACTGTAAACACTACACCATGGTGACTTTCATAGGGAAGCTGCTGTTGAATCGTAGCAAGCAGCCTGGCATGGATGAGTTAGCGAGTGTCCCATGGTTGGTGATGGGCCTGGCCCTGCTGAGTCCTCCCCTCAAAGTCCAGAACAACCCTGGAAAGGGCTCTGTCCTACTGGCATTTAATGAGAGAAACAGATGCTTGAAGGCAGGCAATACCAGGTGGTTGCCCAGCAATGACCAGACAGCACTGGTTCCTTAAAGCTACAGGCACTGCTGCTATTTGGGGGGTGGGGGTTAGCTCCAGTGTATTTTTAAAAAGATTTCAGATTTGTCTGCAAACCTGGGGCATTTTCCCGTTTGTAGAAACAGCTATGTCGTCTGTTTGAAGTTTTAGTCTCTGAATTTAAATATCCACAGATTTGGCCATGCTGAGAATTAAATATGTTAGCACTAAACTTGCTGTTTTACTGCTTCAGCAACATATTTCGTTATTTATTATTTCTAACTTAGCATTTACAGTTTTACTACTTGGGATTTTTATGAAATTTGTAAGTATAAAAGCTTTCTACAAGCAGAATTACAAATAAGCCCAATACTAATAAGGGGGAGCTGCGGTGGCTCAAGTGGTTAAGACGCTGAACTGCAGGCTGTGGAAGGTCAGTAGTTCAGCGGTTCAAGACCCGGGTGCCGCAAGACAGGGTGAGCTCCTGTCTCTAGTTCCAGCTCCTGCCAACCTAGCAGTTCGAAAGCAAGAAATTGCAAGTAGATAAATAGGTACCACTTCGGTGGGAAGGTAACAGCGTTCCGTGCACCTTGGTGTTTAGTCATGCCGGCCACATGACCACGGAAACGTCTTCGGACAGCGCTGGCTCTTCGGCTTTGAAACGGAGATGAGCACCTCAACCCTAGAGTCGGATTCGACTGGCTTTCGAGCAAGGGAACCTTTACCTTTACCTTTACACCCTACTGCATTCTATACTATTTACTGTGTGTATCTTAGTTCCTGTATTGTGAGAGAAAACACAATTTTTGTAGCAAAGAAAATAGTATGTTTTTTAGACAGTCCCATATAGTCATAATGAAGCTAGCAGCATGTTTGGATGTATTCTAATAGCGAAGTTGGCCACATCTTTGAGTACTTGAATCTGCTGATGAAAGCTGTGAAAGGGCAAGACATACCATTCTGCAAACCTGAAAAAGGCCCCGGGTTTGCAGAAAAATGTGAAATCTAAAAAAATACATTGGATAGTTTTAAAAAAATCCAAAAATGATAAAAGTAGCAAGTATAGTTTTAAAAAATGGATTCCCTTGGTGGCTGTCGCTAGCCTACCGCAGTATTCCATATTTCAGTTTCTGTGAGTGAAAAGGAAGGGGGGACAGGGTCCTTTCCAGGCCTATCTGGCCTTGCGGGAGGATTCATTGGGCCCAGGCCTGACTAGGCTTGCCAGCTTCAGGTTGGGAAAGTCCTGGAGCTTTTGTGATAAAGTCTGAGAAGTGCAGGGTTTGGGGAGGGAGGAGGCCTCAGCATGGTATAATGCCACAAAGTCCACTCTCCGAAGCATTCATTTTCTCAGTGGGGGTGGGGTGGGGGGACAGATCTCTTTCTGGGAAATCTCCAGGTTCTACCTGGAGGTTGGCAATCCTAGGCCTGGCAGCAACCTCTGGGTGATGATATCACCTGACTTTATTGACTTAAGTGTGCTTGTCTGCTTGCTCCTGTTTAACAGCATCCACCCTATGAAAGCCAGTGTGGTGTAGCAGTTAGAACTTCAGAGTAGGGTCTGCGAGACCCAGGTTCAGATCTCCATCTCACTGTGGAACTTGACCGGGTGATTTTGGACCAGTCACATACTTTCAGCCTAACCTACCTCACAGGGTAGTTATGCAGATAAAAAGGAGGAGAGAAGAATAATATAAGCTGTTTTGGTCCCCAGTGTGGAGAAAACCATAGTTTTCCTGGGTAGGGGTTGCAGCGAGGAGGCAACAGAAAGCTGAGGACAGAGGGGCAGGTATGTATGTGGCCCTAGGTTAGGATTGGCATTAATGGAACATGTAATAATAATAATAATAACAATAATAATAACAATAATAATGTTGGCTGTTGGGTGGGAAGTAGATAGGTTTGCTAACTCCAAGTTGGGAAATACTTGGAGATTTGAGAGGTGGAGCCTGGGGAGGTTGAGGCTTGAGGAGGGGAGGGACCTCGGACAGGCATAATGCCATAGACTCCACCCTCCAAAGCATCCATTTCCTCCTGATGCTGGCAACCTTAACGGGAGAACTGATCTCTATAGTTGGGAGATCTGTTGTGATTCCTAGAGAGTTGCCGCTGCTACTGCTGGTGTGTGGGGTGGAGCAGGTGGGTGATTGGGAGAGTTATGGGGGGCAGAAAGAGAGAGTGATGGGTGGAGGCAGAAAGAGAGAAGTGACAGGAACAGAGGAGAGAGGGTAAGATCAGGTGACAGGAGAGAGAAAGTGGAAGAGAAGTTGGGAGAGAGGAAAGGAAGCAAAGGTGAGGGGAATGCGATAGCTTCTCCTGCAAGTTTCTTGTGGGTCCCCACTTGTATATTTTATAACATTGAAAGCATTGAAATATTCAGTAGTGTATTATACTTAAACGTAGACAAAATTAGTCATACTGAAACAATGAATACATGGGTCTACAGTGTACAGAGAAAGTGGCATTCTTTAATGCTATAGATTCTGTTAGATAAAACAGACTTCGTATTCTGGGTGAGTACACCTTGTCTTAAAAACCACTTCACTCAGTCCAGAAGAAGTTTTTCATAGGAGGTGTTTTCCAGTACTTCCCCAAAATTTTTAAGTTGGAAAAACAGCAAAGCTCTTATAGGTGGTAATAAAATGCCACATGTGTTTCCTGGGTTTTCTTGGACCTCTGCATCCATAATCCAGTGTGAGCTCCCTGGTTTTCCCTTGTATATATTTAATGAATTCAGCTGGTATTCAGGTAACCTGTGCATAATTTTCATGAGCTGAAGCCAGTTTCCTGTTCAGTAAACTTGCGCAGTTTATGGCAGCATGAATGTAAGCAACCCACCGAGGGCTCAAGAAATTTTTGCTTCAGTTGTCTGTGTGGGGCTGTAAAAAAAGTGGAGTTGCCATGCTCTTGCACAGGCCAGCTATAGACATCATCCCTTCAGTGTGTTCATGATTGATTTTCACTATGTATTAACTGTTTGGATCACTTTCACAAGTGGTAGCAGGAATATGAGTGGTTTTATCTCCCTTGTACTAGAAAATGCTTTGTGTGCAATTTCTAATCTAATTTACAAGTATTATATAAATATGTTCATTGTAGCTCAGCATCATATTGACACAGGAAGCTAAAATACTGTTCTACCACCTTTTGTGAAAGTCACCATAAAATTGGGAATGCTTTTTGGCCAGTAGATTTAATTACAAAGTCTGTACTGGTATGCATTTTCTACTTGTAAGCCCTTGAATTCACTTAATATAATTCAGCCCCTTTTGAGGGAACAGCCAGGTCTCAGTGATAAAGCATCTGCTTGGCATGTGGTAGTTCTCGGCCTCTCCAATTAAAAGGATCTGGTAGTAGGTGATATGGAAGAGTTCTCTGGAGAGTTCCCAGTCAGAGTAGCAGTGTGCTGAAGGTAGGCTGTATGTCCATATGTGGAACACAAGTTACAAAGACCTCTGTACATCCAAAAGCTCCAGATATCCCTTGGAGACTAGATGTGTCTCAGCCCACATAGCTTGGATGGATAAAAAATCAGATAGTCATAATGGTATGTTCTGGTCCCCTGAATTCTCTTACAGTTGTATTCAGGGTATCTAGAGTTTGTCAATTTATCTGGATCCTTTCACCTCCCTCCCTAATAATTATAGAGAATCTTATCTACTCTGGTCTGATCTAACATGAGAGGCAGTCTTGCCAGGATCCATTCATTCCAGATTCAGCACATAACATCTGGTTGTACCTATTTATTTGTACTTGTTTTGAATCGTAATATTGGTACAAAAATAGTGTGTAGCAATAAAAAAAGATCTGCATTATAATTTGTCTGGAGATCTTAGTGTTGTATTTTAACTTTAGAAATAATGTATGTGAAAAACTTGAGAGAGAGAGAGAGGGACATGATTGTTTTCTCCTTCCCCTCTGCTTTGAAATGGCTTGTTTTCTTTCAGCAGGCATTTCCCAGAAACAGCCGCTCTGTCTCAAAGCCAATGTTAGCATCAACTTGTTTTGATCTTTTGAATGCCCTTTCTGGGGTAACTAATTTTTTTATGCTTTCTGTGCTTGAATGTAGCACAAATGAAATGGAAAATAATGAAATCCAGGGTGCCCTCTAGTGCAGGTGTCCCCAATGTGGTGCCTGTGGGTGCTGTGACATTTCTGGCACCCACAAGTGTTTTCAGAAAGTGGGTGGGGCCAGGGGAGGCTTTTGCCCACCAGGGCTTCTGATTGCCCATGGCCGTGTAGGTTTTTAAAAAGTTGCTCACTGCATGAATGAAGGTAGGCTGTGTGTGTGCAGGAACACATTTTAAAACAATCTGTCCATTTAAAAAGACATCTAGCTTCTGCCTGAAATGTTGGGGTTACTATTAGAGTTATGCACAATCCTATTCCCCTGTCATTTTGTGGTTGGCTCCGCCTCTTGTGGCAGCCATGTTGTGATTGCGCCCCTCGCCAGAATTCACAAGGTGCCTGCAGGCTCAAAAGGGCTGGGGACCCCTGCTGTAGTGGCTGTATTTTCATTGTTGGGCTTAGCAGGGGCAACTCCTTCAGTTAGTTCTGTGTGGGTAACAATGTCACAGTCTTCTCCTTTGCTCTGTTGCTCTTGCCAGAAGTACAACATGACCCCAAGGAATGAGTCGGAGCCAAACCAGTCTTCTCCCTAGAACAGTTTTATGATTGCATTGTGCACGCTCAGTGGGGACTCATAGCAGCTTTTACAAGTGGCTTTGATTCCATAATAAAAATTCTCCTTGGAGAGAAGAGTAGGCCTCTATTTATAGCATGGCTTGGGTCATCCTTTACTGCTCATTACTTGATCTGGGAATTGTAAAAGGTCTGTAAATCACAGCCAGTGAAATAACCCTTGTGTGAAATATCAGTTGTCTTTACCATACAGGAACTGGGAGTGAGCAACAATGCAAACTACAAGATAACCTTCATGTTGGACAGTGCTGCCATGATAACTGTGCATACTCCAAGGCGAGGATTAATTGATGTAAGAATTTTTTTTTTCATTTTGTTTATATTTGGAAGCAGCAAAATCCATTCTTTATGTTTGAAGAGTTAGGAAGTGGGAAGGGCCAGACAGCCAAGCCTCTCCCTGTAAGGCAAGAACATCTGCCCTCCAACGTTTTGATGGAACTGTCCGTGTACACAGCTCTGAACTGGTATGCGACAAATACCACACAATATGGTGTCTGTATTTAGAAATGACTCAAAGAAGCAGGATTTGTGTGTTTCGCTTGTGGCTTAGGGCTTGAGTTGCTGTGTTGTCACCTCACTGTTGTGTACCTTTTTCTGCTTGCGGAGTACCAGTTATGGCTTGTATAAATTTAATAACTATGTACAGGGCAAGCTGTCTCTTATCAGCTCAGACTGCTTATTGGTAGGTAGCTGAGGAATGTTAGAGGTTTTCTTTACATGAATGTATCCAAAATAATGAATATGGAGTGCTCAGAGAAGTCAAGAGAGATGTTCTGCTGCTTCATACTTCCTATAGCTTCTGAAATCACTGTTCTTCAATTTAAATTATATCCTGGTTTTCCCATGAAATAGTCTCGTTTTAATCATTGATGGGTTTTGGGCTTCTCTATAGTAAATGAATTCAGTAGATGGCTCTGATTGTCTACAGAATAAATGTGAATAGAGGCTAAAGGTGCAACTTGCATAAATGAATGAAAGACATGCTTTAAAATGCATACATGTATAAGTAAAGTATTAGAGTGGCTTCTGGGCAAATTGGGAGCAAGTGATTATAGAATGGGGTTTGAATTGGGCAAATAGGTAGGATTTTCTCTTAGCCTGATCTACTTCATGAGGGTGTGTGGGGGGGAATGGAATTGCCTCATCCATGTATGTTATCCTGAATTTCTTGGGCAAAGGTTGGATACAAATATTGAAGAAGAAAAGTTCTTGTGAAATGGACTGTTTGGGAGTCTGAATGAGGGAGATGTTAAAGAATTTTGCAGAATGAAAGTACCGTATAAATGACTGAGATTTTACTGAAAGATTGCTCCAATATTCTTTTGGCAGGTGAAACCTCTGGGTGTTATATGGGGCAAATTTTCAGAGTTTTACAATAAGAAAAATACGATCATGTTTGATGACATTGGACGAAATTTTCTGATGAATCCACAAAATGGACTTAAGGTAATTTTTAACATTATTGGGAAATACAAACTGTAAAGGATGTAAGCCTGAATAAGTTGTAAACTGATAAGTGAGTTTACCATTGTAAGGGGTACATACAAAGAAGCACCTTTTGTTTTATGTATTAGACTGAGTTAAAGAAAATGTGGAAAATCTCAGCTGTAGGAGGAAAATGAAACTATACAGGCCTTTGATCCAGTTTGCTTGATTGCTGGTTGGGTGGCAAGTCACTGTTGTATGATCATGGCCAGTGTCTATGTATTCTCCCTCCTCCATCAGAGTACAGCCAGTAGGAGTCACAGGGTCCAGTCCAAAGCAAAGGAACTTTTCTATTGCACATGCTGCTCTTCCCCTTTCATATACAGAACTGGCAGGCCCAAGAGCATGGGCTTTTGGATTAACAGTGTGTTACCTTTTTCTTTAAATTGTACATACGAATCCAAAGATTGAATGAGGTGGCACCAAATATGAATTGTTATGTAACATGTGTCTCCTGCCCTTTCTACAGGGAAGCATTTTTGACTTCATAACAAATGTAAGGCAGGTTAGGGTGAGAAAGTGGTTTGCTTCAGAACATCTTGTGACCTGTTGTTCAAATTTTAAATTTCTCAGATCCAGGACCAATGCCTCAGCCATTGCAGTTTATCACTTATATGAAAATGTTGTAGTTTCCGAGAACTTCATATAGAATTGTGGTGGTCTTTGCACATAGCCAAAATGTTTCTGCAGTTGCTTTTGTGGATCCTGTGGAAATTCGGGGTTTGAATGATATGCAAGGGGTGGAGATGCCTGGTATCTCAAGATGCATGGCAGATGCAAAGCATCCTTGGGCGGACAGAATAAAATGAAATGATGAGATGCTAAAATATGTTTTGCATGTATATAATCTTAAATGTTCAAAGCACTTCACATATGTTATCTCAGTAATCTTTAACAGAAGATCCATAACATTATCCCTGTATTGCAAATTAGACAAAATATCCTTTTATCCACAATTTCTAAAGCCACTCAATCCACAATCTCTAAAGCCACTCAATGAGTTCATCACAGACTTCAGTTTTAAACCAAGGAACCAGGTTCACACACTGGTTTCTTAGTCACTGTGCTGTAGTTGCTCTCTTTCATACCTGTTGATTCCACTTGAAATGGGCGGGATAAAAATAAATCAATCAGTCACTTGAAATATGGAGTTGGGGTAGCGGCAGAATAAAGGTCCTTTTGCTATAATGAAATTGGAGGCAGGTCCTGTAGGGACCTAAGAGAGACATTTTAAAGAATAGGGGGAGATGCTTGGTTTGAATGAAGCTAAGGCTCAGCCTATACATGTTATTTATTTATTTATTAGATTTATACCCTGCCCTCCCTGCCAAGGCAGGCTCAGGGTGGCTTACATAAAAAATTTAAAAACAGATTAAAATCATAAACAATTCTAAGGTGTTATGCATAGATATTACATGTAAGATGACAGAACATAGTTTTCAAGTATTATCCATAACCAGGTAACCAGTCAGCAATATCTTATAAGACTACTGTCTGGTCCCATCGTATCTTAAATATCAGCACGGTACAGTAGCCAATGATGGATTCCAGGGTAAGGCTCTAATTTTATATTGAGATATTAGATGTTATGAAACGTCGTCAACAAAGTTGTATTTTAGTGACTTTTTCCCTCCCACGTCACTGTCCTATAAGGGATACCTGGCTCTTGTGATGTTAGCATTATCCTCTGTAACGCCTATCCAGTTTTTGAAAAATAGTGACGGATGAGTGCAAATTGCCTTAAAATGCTACTCATCTGGATGGAGACTTGATGGAGCACATTGCTGAGAGAACAGTATCATTGCCTCCCCATGGGAAAAACAGAGCTGGTGTGCTACAGCTCAGACTTTATTGACAGCAAGACAAATTGGAGGTGACTGTCGATGAGCAATGTTGCTGCAGAAGGAATTGAGATCAGATGTTCTACCAGAGGCAACAGAATTTAATAAGCCATTCCGTGCGGGATTAGCTTATTGTCCACAAGCTTTTGATAAATGTGACAAGCAGTGCATGGAATGAGTTTTGTGAGACTCTCCGAAGGACATGGTCACCCTCAGAGATGACTGCAACAGAGACTATGACAATTCTCTTGTCAGTGATTTTGTGTTTTCATAGTACTTAATGTACAGTAATTTTCCTCATAAAAGAAAATATCAGTAATGTGACCTATTTACAAGGATCTGTAGGCCAAAATCTGAAATAATGTATCTGCCTGGGAGTAGGCCATGTTGGAAAGTCCCAGTTCACTTCCTGTCATCGCCAGTTGAAAGGATTTCAGATGGCAGTCTGTACTGGAGCCACTGCCTGGCAAAAAAGATGGTATTGGGTTAGAGATTAACAGAAGCAAATGAAGCTGCTTTATGCTCTCCTTATACTCTGCCATATATGCTTATGCTTCCCAAGTTCTCAGGTTGGAGACTCTTTCTACCCTGTCATCTGAAAACCCCTTAAATTGAAGAGAAGATGCTAGGGGTTGTACCTGGGACCTTCTGCATGCAAAGCAAGCCAAGATCTTCCTCACAAATCCTGTTGTCTATGTCCCCACCTTCAGTAGCTGAGGTGGGTGGTGAAAGGTGGGGCTTTTCCTAAAGTGGCAACGTGGCTATGGAATGCCCTGTCCCTTGAGCCTTGCCTGGTGCCTGAGCTACTCTTTTTTAAGTGCCAGGCCAAAATGTTTGTATTTATCCAAATTTTTAATTGATGACCTGATCTTCTAACTCTATTTGTACAAGGTTCTTTAGCCTGAAAACAATTAAATTCATTATAAGTTGCTCAATTATTTGTTTTTATTTGTTTGGCTGGCTTTTTAATGCTGGGCTTCAATTAACAACTTTTAATATTTTATGTTACATTTTATTTTGTAAGCCGTCTTGGGCAGATTACATGGACAAGCAGCGTAAAATATTTCTAAGTAAATATATATTGCCTAAGTTATAGTTTTCAAGTTTACTGTGCACTTTGACAGCTTTAAAGGTGAGCTAATTACTAACTCAGTCCTGCAGTGGTTATTCGTTTGGCCATAGGTGGCAAGTAAAAATCATGTCCTGTTGGCTAAGGAGGTCTGGTTTACCTGGTGAAATGGCAACTGACAGTTCCATGCAGGTTGAATTATGGATGGTGCCTGTAGGGTACTTTCCCCCTATCTTCTGAAATTAGAGCCTGCAGTTCTAAAGCTGGAAGAAAAATTGCTCTCTGCATAATCTCCAAGATGCAAGGCTGTGTTCTGGGACTTAGTGGAAACTGGAAGGGAGGGAGGCATTCACTACTAGTGCCACTCTGTAGAAGCATAGCAGAATGCTAATTATCATAGGGAGAGTAGGAAGAGCTAGCAGCGGGGGGTGGGGGGGAGAAGAGAGTACTCAGAAAAGGGGTACAGGCAATGGGATTACTTGGTTGGTTGGACAAAATGGAAGTGCTACTGGTGAGCAGAAGGACTGACCCGGGAACTGAGGGTGTCTCTTTTTCTTGATGGGATTGCACTCCCCCGAAAGAGCAGGTCCATTGCTTGGGGGGGGGGGTGCTGGACCCGGTCCTACTGCTGGATAACCACATGGCCACTGTGACCAGGAGTACCTTTTACCAGCTTTAACTGGTTAGACAACTGGAGTATTTCCTGAGCAGCAAAGATCTGGCCACCATGGTGCATGTCCTGGTTACATCTCGATTAGATTACTGTAATGAGCTCTACATGGGGCTGCTCTTGAACTTGTTGGGAAACTTCAGTTGATACAGAATGCTGCAGCTAGGAAGTTGACTGAAGCGGGTTGTAGAGACCGTATCAATCCAGCCTTGGCCTGTCGTCACTGTTTCTAGACCCAATGCAAGGTGCTGGGCGACCGTACCTAAGGACTGCCTATATGAACCTCCCCAACTGCTGTGGTCATCTTCTGAGGTCCTGCTTTTGGGTGCCCTTGTCTGCTGGCATTAGATGGGTGGCAACCTGGGAGAGGGCCTTTTTGGTTGTGGAGCTGAGATTGTGGAACTTCCTGCACGGGGATATTTATCTGTCTCCTTTTATCACTGTCTTTGGCCAACAGGTGAAGACTTTTATGTTTTGCCTGGCCTTTCCTCAATTAGCTCTCCTTCCTGCCCTGTGTTTTTGAGTGATGTTTCTCTGTTATATATATAATAGAATATACTAAATAAAATATACTAAAATACGTGTGTGTGTGTTTTAGTTTTGTTTTTAACCCATTTTTGATGTGTTTCTATACTATTCTTAGTTGTTAGATGCCTTGGTGGTCCTGATTGACCCGAAAGGGGGGGGGGGATAGATTTTTTGTAAATCTAGTATTTGACCATGATTATTAATACTCAGCAGTGGGCCTCATATTAAAATTTGTTCCACAAATATAAATTATCAGTTTCCCCTGCTCCCTCCATATAAATAGAACTACTCAGTGCAAACAGAACACTTGCAAATTCAGCTTCAGGAGTGTGAATCCTACAGCAAAGGAGAATTATGGCTTTTGAAATTACTGCTGTTTTTGAACTCAGTTGCTGTGCTGCCGTGAATGTTGCTGGAAGTGTCAATGTCTCTTTGTCTGTTAACTTGTGAACACAGAAATAGTAGAGGTCATTGCAGATTGCTGCTGGAAGGGAAGGATGGAGGCTGCCTGGCATGATAGAGCCATTTAGTGCCAGTCATTGGACTGAATTTTAGTGGTGGCAGTAGCCAGCTTTAGTCCCAGGCTCAGCCTGCAAAGGTTGCAATGATTTACTCTTAAATTTTGTACTCATCTTTTAAAAATGCAAGTCATTCATGCCTGTGTTCTGTCTTAACAGATAAAGCCCTTCATGAAGGCACATTTAAACAGAGATAAAGATAAGGAGCTTCTAAAACTTACTCAGTACCTCAAGGAAATAGCAAAATTAGATGACTTTTTAGAGCTGAACCACAAACACTGGGAAAGGTAAGGATTAATGTTGTTCTTGCCCAGTACTGTATTATGGCAATGTCAGCCTGCCCTGCCTTCTGGCCCAATCAGGATTAATGTCAGGTCCATCAGCAGGGGTCAGGAGATGTGGATCTGTTGCCAGAACTGAGTTATTTGCCTTTCCATCTACAGCTTTGGCCTTAAGCAAACTTGAGTATGTTCTTAAAGTGCCAATTTAATAGCACTTTGCTTTTTCGTATATGTGTGTGGGGAGGTAGGGGTATAAGTCATGTAAAGTTGATAAGTTCACCATATGGAGCAACCAAAACATGAACAAGTAGGGTTTCCTTCAGTTAGATAATAGGTATAAAATAAAGACCCAGTGACCTTGGTGTGGCATCTGTTGATACACAATAAAAACGTTTTTGCTGATTCAAGCTGGAATGCTCTGCACTTCTCAGGTTCTGCTTGCTGCATATCCTGTACGTGTCTTGGCAGTCTACATTTCTTGCTTGATATTTAACTGCAGTTGACTTGGTAAAAATGCTTACTGGCATTTTAGTTTAACAGGAAAGGAGCTACCACTAAAAGCATTTTTCCTGAGAGCTGAGCTGCTGCCTACTTTTCCTGTTTCTGCATGAAATCTTTGGGCCATTATGGGTTGTTGCTCTTCTTTCTCTTATTAGATGAAGCATTTGGATACAGACTTTCTACAACTCCCCATAGCCTTCTAATGTGCCAAAAGGTTGTAAGCATTTAAAAAGATTAATATACTGTGCAGGAATTGTGAAGTCCTGAGAACCCATTTTTTCCTATTTTTGAGGGAAATTAAAATAGATGCAACACTTTCCTGTCAAACCAAAATGATTTTACGGCTTTGACAACATAAAGTGCATCATTTATAAATTTGTTAGCCTATAAAATTATATTAATTAGCTTATTTATGGAATTTCAAAGTATAAACATCTTAGTTTTATCTTAGTTGCAAGCAAAAATTGCAACACTAAAGCAGGAGATCTATAAACCGCTGCACTCTTTGCTATCTTAGTACATCACTAATTCCAAAAGAATATATGTAGGAGATTCTTCAGTTCTTCCTGGTGTTTTCCAGTTTTTCTGATTAAAACAAAAACTCAGAGTTTTCCATGCTCTGCCTTTTGAGTGAGTAAAGTGTTTTCTTAAAAAGCATTTCACCTTCTCACATTACTTGACAGTCCCTCATCATGCCATCCTTGTATTTGGAAGCAGACTGCCTCTTTCAGATAAAGACTGCATATATCGTTCTTAAGGAACTATAGCAGGTGTGCTAATAATAAATGCCTTTTCATAAAACTTTAAAGGAGTTGTGGGGGGGGGCGGTTGTATTAGTGCTTCCACAATTTCATAATGTTTCCATCAGGAAGAGTTGGGGGAAGTGTCCTTGGGCAGAAAAAACTGGTTTTCCAGATTTGTTTGGTGTTTTTTTTTTTTGCCAGGGCCCTCACATCTCTAGTACAGCCTTTGCTTAGCACAGATGATCCATTTTAGGAACTATTTGCTATACAATGGGAGGCATGTAATATAGAGCTTAATACTTGTAAAGTTGTGTGAAGGGCCTTCATGTTGCTTTGTAATCTGCTGAACTGGCTGATGAATGCTTATTTTGACAGTGTCCATTGCTCAATAATTCTGAATGAGGAGCCCTAGGAACTATGCAATATTTGGTTAAAACTATTTTTAGAAGAAGGCAGAACATTTTATGCCCCACGAACAACCTGGACGAAGACATTAAAACATTTTATGAAGCTCAGTGGTGAAATCGCCAGGCAAATGGCTGCACAGTGATCTTCTAGACAGAATGCCCTGTCTCTGGTAGCCACTCAGCCTCATTGTCTGAAGATCAGGAACAAAGCAGGGTTTCTGTGGCAGATCTTAATAACCAGGCTGGTTTCTGGGAATAAGTGGTCCTTTCGAGACTCAGGTCCTTTATCATTTAGGGTTTTAAACATGAGAGCCAGAAAATTGAGTTGTGTCTGGGAATGAACTGGTAGCTAGTTGGGCGTTTTAAGTACTGGGAACATATGTTTCCCCTTATCCTTGCCGATCAGTAATCTTACAGCTATGGTCTGAAGAGTCCTCAGGATCATGTAGTGGAATAGATAACTGTGTGCAGGTCATACTTTTCCAGGAAGGGCTAGAACTGGTAAACCCATCAGAGTTGGACGAAGGGACTTCATGTGACAGTTTACTCCTTGATCCAGTAGCTCAGAGTGGCATTTTAGCTGATTCTAGACAACAACCCTGTACAAAACTGGCTAACTCCTTATTTCTTAGTCAATTGTATCACCAGCAGTACTTCAGCCTTTTCTGGACTGAGTCAGTTTATTGACCCCAACACAATATGGTTTAAGGTAATGATTAAGAAATTCTGTTCATCTTATTTCTTAGCATTTAGAGGTCAATACAACAGCTGTGTATTTTTTTTGAGCTTTTATCACTAGTGATAAATTTTAAAATACCTGCTGGAACAAAAAGACACTATATTCTTGCAAGTTTACTAACAGTGTGACAATGAGACTTGTGATGGCTTTATGTCCTTTTAGAAAGCTGATTTGTAAGGATGACTGTTAAATAACTTTATTTTTCCTATGTAAGTTCCAAAGACTGTCTCCCCCTGAATTTAAATTTGGGTTTAAAATGTGAATGTTTTGACTTCCCAAAGGTAAGGTTTCTGAAACCTTTTTAGAGGTAATTTAACTTGCTGAGCTTGACAACAAGTGAAAGATTAATTTGAAATTCTGTTTGTCCTGCCAGGTTATTTATATCATGCTATTTCTTAAAAACTCATGTCATACAGCTTTGGGGTGGAAAAGCATTGTTTTAGTACTGTTTTGTATTACTTATATTTAAGTAATACAAAACAGTACTAGAACAATGCTTTTCCACTCCAAAGCTGTATGACATGAGTTTTTAAGGAATTTTCTTTGTTAATGCTATGTTTCACGTCTGATCTCATATTCTATTTGTCTTTTTCTCTAGGTACCTCGCAAAGAAGCAAGGCCAATAGCTTTAATTTGTGAAGCAGAATGTAGAGACCCTTTGACCTTTCCTCCTGTGTAAGCTAGAATTAATAGTGCTGGACACTGACTTATCCACCAGAGTGACTCTTTACACATGGTCTTACTATTGGTTTGCTCTGTCTGGAGATTACAGCAAACAGTGGAAAAGAAAAACGATTGCTCTTCTTGTGTTTTACTCTGGTGTTACATTTAAAATAATATCATCTGTACTGCTACTGTAGTATTCCCAAGATTTAAAGCCATGCTGTTCTGCAACAGGGAAAAAGTTCAGACCAAAAACCTCCCAAAACATACAAACCAGAAGTTTACTTATGGAGCCAGTTTCTACCATTCTCGGTTATAGAAATCTCTTCCCTCCCCTGTTATGGTATTTAAGTCTATGAACTATAAGCTGTCTAATTATGTATTAGTATGTCAAGTGTTCCTTTGTGCAAGACAGTTTTATGACAGAAAGCATCACTAGAGGACAAAAGCGCCTTTGTGTGTAGATCTTGATGATAAAACTTGCATTGCATATGACTGGAGAATAGGAGGAATTTTAAAAGAAAATAACAATGCTTTGTCAAAAAGCATTCTTTTTTAAAAAAAAAAATGCTTCTGGTCAGAAGGATTTAAACCTGAAGAGAGCAGAGTACTAATTCCTTAAAGCATGAGCATTAGTTGTTCTGTTCTCGTTACTTTTGTGAGGATACAGTCTCTTTGAATGGCAGTATTCAGCCACAGCTGTTCTAAAATGATAGGTAATTTGTGCTGCTTCAGCCTGCACTGTGGAAGTCTGATGTGACCATTGTCTCACATTACTTGACAGTCCCTCATCATGCCATCCTTGTATTTGGAAGCAGACTGCCTCTTTCAGATAAAGACTGCATATATCGTTCTTAAGGAACTATAGCAGGTGTGCTAATAATAAATGCCTTTTCATAAAACGAGTGTCGTCATTCTTGAACATATTGATACAATAGCAGGTGTTGTCTGTTTAGTACATCCAGGGTTTGAATCCGACCACTCTACTCAGCTAAATGTGAAGTAGCCCTCTTGCAGAAGAGGTTTTACTTCCAGTGGAAGTCTCCTGGAGGAAGGAGTAGTAAGATCAACCTGTATTGCATATTTTTTTCCTGCAAAGAATCTTGACAGTTATTGCTGTTGTGAAACCAGAAAAAATAGCCTAAAACTTTTCATCTGTTAAACACATGCATTATGCTAATGGATGGGGTAGATGTATAGCATTATAGACTCTGGTGTCTCCCATACAAGGACAGGGTTTTGTGGTTTTCCTTTGCTGCAGATAAAGCACAGCAGCAATGTGGCTACCACACGGCAGGTTTCCTCAGGTTGTGTGCCCCAAATTCCTCATAAGTACCCACTCCCCCAGACCAGTAGGGCTTTTGCAGTTTTTTAAAATAAACTTGGCACTAGAATGTCATATTAATATAGCATTGTGTCAATAGGTGTAGCAGTTTCTCTGAATTACCAGTTTCCATTAAAAAAAATTAAAGTCTCTAGCCCATTTTCTTACAGGTATACTTGCTTGTCTCTGCAAGGGAAGAGGATAGAGACTTTAAAAAAAATGAAAGCTGCAAATGAGGAGAAATTGCTACACCTATCGATACAGTAGTATATTGATAGAATGTTATTTAACTGCTGATTTTTTTAAAAAAGATAAAAAGCCCCCAGTAGCAGGGGGATGAAATGGCTACCATAGGGACAGAGTCAGGAAAAATGGCTGCCACGTGGGACAGGGAAATCCGAATTTTCCCACGAATACACTATGGTCTTTCTGGAGAGCCAGTTTGGTGTAGTGGTTAAGAGCAGCAGACTATACTCTGGAGAACAGAGTTTGATTCCTCGCTCTTCCACATGAAGCCAGCTGGGTGACCTTGGGTCAGTCACAGCTCTTCCAGAGCTCTCAGCCCCTAAAACAAGCCTAGTTTGCCATCTAGTGGTGCATAATGGTAAAATAAGCTAGAGCTCCTGGCAGCCAGACAATCCTACCAATGATCTGGCCATTCTACACACAGTGTAGCGGTGTGCTCGTGCTTGTGACGAAGCATCAAGAACATCCTATAGGACGTTTATGAGATCCTATGAGATGGCGGTTAAAGCTGCTAAGAAGGAATTCTATGCAGCCGCGATTGTGTCCGCTAGCTCACGCCAAGCTCAATTGTTTAGAACAATTCGGTCTTTGACATCTCTGCCACAGGGCAGACAAAACAGTAGGGAATTGGACATCGGCTGCGAGGCTTTTGCGAGCTATTTTGCGGATAAAGTCTCGGTGCTCCGCCGCAACCTCCCCGCCACAGTTGAAACAGTGAGCGAACTTGAGGCCCCTTGCACGTCCTCGTTGGGTTTGGAATGCTTTGACCCGCTCAGCCTGGAAGAAGTTGACAGATTGCTCATAACTGTGCGTCCAACCACATGCTCCTTGGATCCGTGCCCCTCCTGGCTCATTAAGGCGGGCCATGAGGGGTTCCGAGGTGCCATACGGGAGATTGTTAACAAGTCCCTCGTGGAGGGACGGTTCCCGGGGGCACTTAAGGAAGCGATAGTCCGCCCTCTCCTGAAAAAAACAACTTTAGACCCGGCCGAATTGGCCAACTATCGGCCGGTGTCAAATTTGCCCTATTTGGGCAAATTGATTGAGAGGGCGGTGGTGACACAGCTTCAGGGCTTTCTGGATGACGCTTCTGTCCTGGATCCACTTCAGTCCGGCTTTCGCCCTGGCCATGGGACGGAAACGGCGCTGGTTGCCCTTACTGACGACCTCCAGAGGCATCTGGATCGAGGTGGAGTGGCGGCACTGGTGTTAGATCTGTCGGCTGCGTTCGATACGGTCGACCACCAATTGCTGATCCACCGCCTCGCCGACGTGTGGATACGGGGGTTCGCCCTTCAATGGCTTGCCTCTTTTCTCCAAGGTCGGGGACAGAGGGTGGTAATAGGGGAACAGCAGTCCCAGAGGCACCCACTTGAATGTGGTGTACCTCAGGGGGCAGTGCTTTCCCCGATGCTTTTTAACATCTATATGCGCCCCCTCGCCCAGATTGCCAGGAGGTATGGGCTGGGTTGTCATCAGTATGCGGATGACACCCAGCTCTATCTGATGTTGGGCGGCCGGTTGGGCTCCGACCTGGAAGATCTGAACCAGGGACTACAGGCCGTGGCTGAGTGGCTCAAGCTGAGCCGGTTGAACCCAGCAAAGACGGAGGTCCTGGGCGTGAGTCGGAACGGCTTGGGGTTGGGGCTCTCTCTCCCGACCTTCGATGGGGTGCCTTTGGTGCCAGCGTTGGAGGTGAGGAGTTTGGGAGTGTTCCTGGACTCCTCCTTAACCATGGAGGCCCAGGTAGCAGCCACTGCCAGATCTGCTTTTTACCACCTGAGGCAGGCCCGGCAGTTGGCCCCCTTCCTCAGCCGTGATGACCTAGCTACAGTGATCCATGCGACAGTCACCTCAAGGCTGGACTACTGTAACGCTCTCTACATGGGGCTGCCTTTGTCGCTGATCCGGAAGCTGCAGCTAGTGCAGAATGCGGCGGCCAGGTTGATGAGGGGCCTCCCTAAATGGGAGCACACCCGACCTGGGCTGAAGGCGCTGCACTGGCTGCCAATAGCGTACCGAATCCGCTTCAAAGTGCTGGTACTTACCTTTAAAGCCCTATATGGCCAGGGTCCGACCTACCTGAGGGACCGCCTTTCCCCGCATATACCCCCAAGAGCACTTCGGTCGGGGACCCAGAACTGGTTGGTGGTTCCGGGTCTCTGGGAGGTAAAACTTGTGTTGACCAGGGCTAGATCCTTTTCAGTGGCGGCCCCTACCTGGTGGAATGAGCTCCCGGAGGACTGAAGATCAGAGACGCCATCATTACCAAAGACCATCTTGCCATGAAGCACTTATTTATCTATTGTTATATATAATTGCTGCTATGTTTTTATTGTTTTATGGATTTTATGTATGGGCTGTAGCCCTCTGTAAGCCGCCCTGAGCCCGCTTGCGGGGAGGGCGAGGTAAAAATACATAAATAAATAATAAATAAAATAAAAATAAAAACTCCGGAGCAAAGCAGGTTTGAAAAATATCAGAGAAAAGCCAGGGAAACTCCTGCAGTTGCACGAGTATACCATGATGCTGTGGAGAAATGGGAAAAACACTTTCCAAAAGCGTTGAAGACACCCGCGAAGCTTACTTGGGTAGTTAAGTGTTATTAATGGTTGAAGTCCATCATGCTCATCTACACAGAGATGGGAAACCATGATGGCCCTATGAGATTTTAAGTAGACTTGTTCTATAAAACTGCCCTATTCTTTATGGCTGCTGAATATGGATTTCTCAAGGTGTGTTTTTAGTGCCATTCTGGTACCACTGTAGCAATTACAGACAACTTTGCAGAGTATTCAGGGTTTGATTCAACTTAATCTCCAGTCCTGCACACAATGCGTTAAGGCATATAAATACAAGTTATTTGCATACATGGGGCAAAAATTGCTGTGTCACTGGTCTTCTACATCTGGAACAAAACATAAAGAGATTCTTTCCTGTCTGTTCACGAGTAGTTCTTTTACCTGTAGACAAACCTGTCATTGAATTCCTTGGTGCAGAATCTAGCGGCCTCTCCTTCAATTATTGGGTCTTTGGCAGCACAGCCTCTCTGAAGGCACTATTCGCTCCTTGAGATAACCAATTCCATGCTACCTCACATACTAGTTTCAGGGAAACCTCCTGTATATTTCTCACATTGTTTAAGTGAATGGAGAAATGAAGTGTGCATAAGGGAGAGAGGGGAGAAAGTAAGCAGACATTGTGAAATATGCATTGGTGCATTAAAAACGTATGGTATTCTGAAGACACTAGAGGGCGCACCTGTAACAAATACGTACATATCCTGGGAATAACTGAGCAGCATAGTAACCTTGGGAAAAATGGTAAATATTAGAAAAAAGCAACAATACTTAATGAAGTTGTAGTATATTGCATTACAATAACATTTTATCAAAAACAATGGTGGTATTAATATTATTCTTTTATCATTGTAGCTTTGTTGTTCAGTTGCACAGTCAAGTCCGACTCTGCGACCCCATGTACCACATCACGCCAGGCCCTCCTGTCTTCCGTCGTGCTCCAGAGTTTGCTTAATTTCATGTTCGTTGCATCAATAACACTGTCTAACCTTTGCCACCCCCTTCTTCTTTGACCTTCAATGTTTCCCAGCATCAGGGCCTTCTCCAGTGAATGCTCCCTTCTCATTTGGTGGCAAAAGTATTTGAGCTTTTGCTTCAGTATCTGGCCTTCCAGGGAACAGTCAGGGTTGATTTCTTTTAGGATTGATTGATTTGATCTCCTTGCAGTCCAAGGGACTCTCAAGAGTCTTCTCCAGCACCATAATTCAAAAGAATCTATTCTTCGGCACTCGGCCTTCCTTATAGTCCAACACTCGGGGCCATAAATTACTACTGGGAATACCATTGCTTTGACCATACAGACTTTTGTTGGCAGGGTGATGTCTCTACTTTTTATTATGCTGTCTAGGTTTGTCATCACTTTCCTCCCAAGGAGTAGGGGTCTTCATTTCATGGCTGCTGTCACCCAGGAACGTGAAGTCTGTCACTGCTTCCACAACTTCCCCTTCTATTTGCCAAGGAGTGATGGGGCCGGATGCCATGATCTTAGTTTTCTTGATGTTGAGCTTCAAGCCCATTTTTGCACTCTCCTCTTTTACCCTGAGTAAGAGGCTCTTTAGGTCCTCTTCCCTTTCTGCCATTAGAGTGGTATTGTCTGCATATCTGAGGTTGTTGATCTTTTCTCCAGCAATCTTAATTCCGGTTTGTGATTCATCCAAGCCGGCATTTCGCATGATGTACTCTGCATATAAATTTAAAAAGCAAGGTGACA